CCCGCTGAAATGTTACCGCTGGTTTTTGTGGTCCTTGTCTAGGAGGAGAATTAGCCAAACTTCCGGAATCTTATAAGCAGAAGGCGGAATAACTCGCATGTTAACCAATTTTAACCAATCGCCGGTAACTGATGATGAAGTTATTGATCAAGACCCAGAAATAGACAATGAAAGAGAAGAGCAAATATCAGCAAATACCTCTTATAGTTACGTCGATCCCGAATTATGCCAAAGATGATACCAGGAAACCCAGCAAGAAACTCCCCTCGACCGGAAATTATTAGCCATTTTAGAATTTATTGATCGCTTGGAAGAACGAGACAAGGAAATTTACTGGAATAAATGACTTAATCATTGAAAGCGAAAATGCTTGTTTTTGGTAATTATTCCGGCTTTAGTTGCAGGTTTGCTTTCTTGGCTAAGAAAATAACTAGCTGGGAGTTCTTGTGGCGTGGATTTCTCTCCCTTAACAAAAGAAAATGCTTCGTGGTTTTGGCTCTCTCCGCGACTTGTGGCGTAAAAAGAGGCTAACCGAGGAGTTTTTCTTCCCTTTCTCCTTCTTAAAAAAGGGATAATTGCGAAGCAATATAATTTATGACCAAACTAATTTATTCCCGTTCAGGGTAAAGTATGACCAGAACTTCTAGTAAATTAACTCGTTTGCGAGCCTGAATTAAAGAACATAAAGACGAGATTATGATTCTCGTTTCTATTATCCAATTAATTTACACCGTTTTTCGTAAATAATCAATATGAATAACAAACGGATTAGCCAATTAGAAAAAAATTATTTCGGAAAAAAGCGAAACTCGACTAAAAAGAGAAAATAAATATCACCGGATATATCCCAACAAAAAGCTGGCTGGAGAGAAAAAGAATCTTGCTTCTCATCAAAAATGATTAGAATATAAAATCTACTTAAAAAAGTAAAAAAGAAAAATGAATAAGGAAGAAAAAGGAGTGATATTTTTAAGAAATCTAAGTAAAATTGAATTTATTCGTTATCCTTATTTTTGGAAATTGATAAACAATTGTAAGGAAGGTGATGGGTGCGGA